ATTTGTGTTTTGATTACTCATTTAATGCGAGTTTGCTTATTGTTTCTTCAGTGAATATTTATTATAACGAAATATTTAATGATTTAACGTAGTTGTTGTTTTGAAATGTTAATAAAACTAGAAATCTTATAGGACATGCTCTTTTGGAAGTGGAAAAAAATTAGTGTGAAATGACGCTATAATTGGAAATATTATTTTGTTCCATAGCCGCTTTTCATTTCAGTCTGTTACCAGGTGAATGTTGCTTTGGCATGATCAATCGTTATTTTTGACCAAACCCCTTTTTCAAATAATTAGTTGTGACATTTCATTGAATTCGTTTTGAAAAGCTCTATCCAGGTCATTTCATTATATCGGTCCATATTAGGTCCGTGTTAGGAACCACACGTTAAAAGGTAAGACCTCGTTAGTCCTTAGCTTGCACAAGTTTCAATTTTTGAGAGTTGTCGTTCGTAGGGGGGAGACAGCTGGTTAACGCATAAACAGATTTTAAACAGATTTCAAACAGAACAGATATAAAAATAAAGCTGATGATGGTTCCTTATTAATAATAATATATTATTATATATTTTCCGATATCCCAACAGCATGCTCTTACGGTTTGATTAAAAATTCGAACTCTAGGGGAGAATATCGACTGTGAGTGTCAAATGTAATTATTTGACATAATTTTGTAATTCGGAAAACAAAAAATTATGTATTCCCTAATTTCATTTCACTGAAATCTGTTTACTTACTAGTACAATAGAAATCCGTCTGCGTTTCCGCCTCACTTTGAAAGTGTTTTCTTTCATCTTGCGAAATTCGATTAATGTTACCTCACCATTTTCACGTTTCTTTATGATTTTTCGCAGAAAACTATACATTGCAATTTATTGTAAACGATGAAATACATCACCCACACTATTCGAGAAAAAATCATATGATAAGGTTGCGCGCGTTTAGTGGGAATAATTAACTTTTTTGTATAACTGATAAGAAAATGCCATTTTCAGGGTCAAATTCGAAACAATAACATCAATTAGCGCATAGAGCCACGCAATAATCTTAGATTCTCGAGGGAACAGTTGAATATAACCTGTCTAGCTACTGACTACCAATGATAAAATAGTCAATAATAACCCTTACACTTGTTTCAGAAACAAGTGAATGTGGGAATTCTTGTAGATGTAACATCCGTTAAAAACACTTTTCCCTCGCCAAAAAAAAAATCTTTCTCTCAATGCATGTTTCGCTGCCAATGTTAGCATCATCAGATGACTGAAACTACCCTTACAAGCTATGTTAATGTTTCTACATGCATCTATGGAAATAATTATCTTGCAAACTGGTCAATTCATACTATTTTGTTATTTTCCTGTTGTCAGGGTCAATTATATAATTCCTATTATTTTCTTATTGTCATTTCACTTGTAAGGAATAGTTTCAGTCATCTCAGGTAAATATTAGGTATCAGTCAGGTAGTAAATTACAATAGAACAATAACAAATTACTAGAAATCAATTAATTGACCCTCATTAAACATGGTAATAATTCTTGCATATAAACACATTAAAAAAGCTTGTAAGGAATATTACTGGAGTTTAATCCAACGTCAAACCATTATTTCTAACACCTCGACACGTGTTTCAATCAGCAAGTGATCATCTTCAAAAGGAAGATTAAACTGTTTAACCATTCTCGACACGTGTTTCAATTACCAAGTGATAATCTTCAAAAGGAATATTAGGCACTTTAATCTTCCTCTTGAAGATGACCACTTGGTGATTGAAACACGTGTCAAGATGTTAAAAATAACGGTTTGGTGTTGGATTAAACTCCAGTAATATTCGTTACTACACCGAAGGTTCCAAACAGTGCATCACAAAAAGCTTGTAACAATAGTTTCAGTCATATCAAGACAATGCTAATTGCAGATGCACTGCAATCAATACAATAAGTCAATGAATGAAAAAATTGTTAACTTCACAACGAAAATATCCGAATTGGACCACCCTATCATTTGCGCGCCGTCTACGCAAGAGTGCTTCTTGCAATGGACGAAATGGTAATGTTCCGTCGGATATTCGGCGACGTTTTATCTCCAAATAATCACATACCTGAATGATCATAGCTAGCGGTGATCCAATTAGGATTTAATGTGAATGGTTTTGTAAAAATTCCAGAGATATTCTGTAGGTTAGGCTAGGTCGAAAACAACAGTTTCCATTCGACTCTGCCCTGCAACCCGCGAATGTTTATTTTTAAACTCGACTAAATAAGTCTAGTTTCTTAACAAAGGCGATTAGTTTACTTGGTGAATGTTATTTCAGGTTCGATAACAAGACTGAAACTCTGCCAATCACCTCTGCAAACATGATTTGGTACGTGACAAGACAGGCACATGGTCTGCTGTTTCATCTTCCAAACAGAGGCGGCCTTCACTACTTCATGACAGTTCAAGTCTCTTCATACGATGATTCAGATGACCTTATGTAAGTTAGCCTCGTAGACCATAGGTCATCCTCGCTGTAGTCTGACCATTGTTTGGTGATATAGTTCAAAGGATGCATTAATTCCTTCGAATGGTGAATATTGCTAGAATTATAAAACCCTTCTTGCGGTTCAAAATATTCAATCAAGTACTGGTCTGATGAAACTGGTTGCAGTGCCCTTCCTTGCAAGAGAGTCGGCAGCTTCATAACCTTCCAGGATAGTGTATCCATGAATCCACACCGAAAACAATTTGTAAAATCTTATCGAGTAGTATTTTTTGGCAATTCACTACCAACTTGTATGCTGCTCGGTGAGTGCCAAGTGCTTTCAAATTTGAGAATATTTTTATTGATTGTGATGTGTGAGGTTGGATTCTGCCATCTCTTTACACATAAATAAGTCAATGGCATAGATTTCTGCCAGAATAACGGTCACATTCTCAGGTATGTTGATATCTCTGTCTTGGACCTGCTACTGTATACGCGAATGTGAAGGTGTTTTTGATCTTGCCGTGACACAACATCTATATGCTCTTAGTATTTCCTCTTAGCGCAGGATTCAGTTCTCTATAAATGGGATTAGGACTGTATAAGGCAGGCTGTAGTTACTGTTGGTGACATGAAGTCGGAGGAAGGTCTAGGATTTCCATGGCCGTTAAAGGTGTGGTGCTAATGGCACCGGAGATAGCCAGGCAAGCCTTTATCTGAACACTAGAACGCTTCACCGGCCGCCAGACAATTGCTTCGTATGTGATCATTGGTCTGACAATCATCATATATATTCAATGGATTTGTTTAGGCCCTTGGCCCCAAGACCTTCCACGGATGCTTCGATGTGTTCTTTTCCCAAGTCAGCATTCCAAATGAGTATTTTATCGAAGATAAAACCTAGATTTCACTTCCTCCTTCACCATTGAAAAAACCTGGAGTGGATTCATCAGAATTTTCCTTCAGGCTAAGGGGATTATCACAGTTTTGCTGGTGTGTATAGCCTCTTTGGAGGCTACCTTTCCGACACTTACTGGCTGGAAATATTATGAATGAAATAATCAATGAAAAATTTCAATGATGGGCGGCTAAATAGCAAATTTTTCCAGTTTTCGAAGTACCATCGATTTTCAACTTTTAAAAAGATATTAATGTTTCAATTTTTTTTTTAAACTTTTTCTAGAATAATGGTAGTTGATTCTAATAAAACTGTTTTTATATTTACATTTTGTAAATATTGCATAAATAAAAAAAAAATAAAATTTTCATTTTCCTACATAATTTGACCAATGAAATACTCAACTTTTTTCGTTTTTCTAATCAATTAGTCGATTAGGTTAGGTCTACATGGCCGTACAGAAAAGGTATATTTCAATTTCAAAAAACCTCAGAAAAAAATTTCTGATATGTTGAGAAACATTTCAAATTGAGTTTGTTTGATTTTGGATTTCTTCATTAAATTCAAAACATAAACTGTAGGCACATTTGGAAAAACGTCAAAAATCGCCAAAAAAGTTCGGAAAATTAGATATGCGAACTTCGTATCTCCTTCGAAGTTTAACTTTCTAACGTAAAATTCCTAGGGCTGATCAGTTGACTTACAATGAACACGGAGCTAGGCATATCAAACACTTTCTTATAATGTATTATCATCAGTTCGGATCTGCAAGCAATTTTGATTCTTTGAGTGAAACAATCAACCGACAATCGACCAAATAGTGGTAACATTCTCTTATTATATATTTGTTCTTATAACGCACCTTGTTTTCTAACAGTTACAATTTATAAGGAATGAACATATGATTAGAAACCTTTATTCAATTCAATTAAAGGTCGATCCACACTCCTCCGTGACATATGACGTAATGTAACATACCATAATATTTATTGCAAAAAAATATTGGGATATCGGAAGCCTATTTCACAAAGCTGGAAATAGGGCGCGTCTTCAGAAATGTCTGACACAGTGATGTGAACTTCGGAACATCACTGCGTTGAACATGTCTAAACACGCGCGTCGTTTTACTTCTGTTATTACATAAGTTGCGTTCTGTTGGCACTAACTCGATTCCATTACAGTCAAAAGTTCATCGCCATCTCTTCTCGAAGTATTTTGATTGAGCAGAGAGCGAATACGTTGGGGTGGGAATGATAGATCTGGAATAAGATGAGTGCGAACAAAACACACCTATGGACTTTCCTTTAATCGACATTTGTTTGCACTGAATGTATACAATGTATGTGTAGATCGACTTGAAGAATACCTCTTTAATTAATTCATAACACCCATACACACAAGCACAAATAACCAAATAGTTAATCATTCAAATTTAGTGTTTTAAAGCACACTTCATCCAGACTCAGAATATTAGTATCAAAATCTATACTAATGGTAATAACTTGAACTTGCCGAAAAAACCCAGTGTTAGAACCACATGCAAAACTACAAGGGTAGGTGCAAAATAACTAGCGCCATGCTGAATGAAACCTAGAGGAAGGGAGAGAAAAAAGTCCAGCCGCCATTTAGGGGCCGCCTACCTCTATTATCAGGGGCTCTACCAACTTATTGTCCGTTATCCTAGTCACTACAGTTTCTGTAAAGGTGCTCTTGGTGATGGTTTCAGTTACTCTGCCCGGACCTGTCGGTGAAGGGGGGAGTTCGATAGGATCGGGCTTCTTAATAGTAACGGTAGTAACCGAATTCGCGACACTTTCATTTTTATCAGAGGTGTTAGTGGAGGAATGGGGGCGCTTTGGAGGAGAGGTGGTGGTAGCAGTTTGCTGAGCTGCAGTTTTTTTCAGGAAATGGGGAGGGATCATCGCCTGGAACTCTTCGTTGGTGATTGGCCTCGCTAGTACCTGTGCGTCGTCATCCAGTGATGAATTGGATGATGCTTTTGTATGGTTGTTTTGCTCATAGTCTGACATATTGGGTTGGTTACTGGTCGGTGGCATCATGTTAGTGGCCTGGGCAGGATTCGGTGTCGGTTCACCAGCGATTGAATTCAAACGTCGAGGGGCTGGCTTAGGTACATCCTTCAGAGAACCCTGGTCGATGATGCCGTTAGTTTTTGGAGTATCCTGTAGACTTTGTTGAATTTCGGATTTGACTGGTTCAGGTGATTCTGATACCTGAAATAAATTAAACATTGTTTATTTCCTAATATTTGAAAAGAGTAGTAAGAAATAATTAAGTCATTTTCCGTAATCCCTAAAAGTTGTGCGTAATTACCATAAATGAAGAAAGAGAGTTCAAGGTGTTATGGTAAGAAAATCACATGATGCGATTGATCTCTGATTCCACTATTGTTAAACGAAAAAAAAATACTGTAAATTATGCACAATGTATATCATTACCAGGCTCAGGTTAGTTTTATTGTAGTTTGAGTTGGTTGATGGTTGCTGCTGAAATATATACGTGCATTTATCAACGCTCAAGCAATAAGGTGAATGAGAATTACTTACAGACGCTCGGATTTATCACCATATCAGTCTCGCAAGGATTGCACTTCTTACGAATAACTGTTATTATTCGTTAAGTACAAACTTACTGGAAGACTGTGCAATTAGAAAATAAAAATAAAAAGCATCTTCGTGTATGGACTCAAGAGCGGTTCTCAAAATGACAAACATTGTCGTCGACCTCTCGAATATTGTTATTCCAATAACAGAACATCGAGAAACACTAATAGCTCATGGCGGCGATTAGAGTCAACGACATCTCCGTTTACGAAGACACCATCGACTAGACTTACGAATATCAGAGATGAACGAGACTCCCCAAGGTAATCCTTCGCAGAGTCATGCTTTCACATCGACCACCAAACAAGATTGGTCCTCGGTCTTTCTCTGTAGTTTCCACTGCAAGATAGCGCTGTTTTGACCCGCTGTGTGTTTCATCAGTGGTACTAGGCTTGTCCTTAAAGGACAAGCTTGAGTAAGTAGAGGAAAAGCCTTGGGAAGATGCCATCGCCTCTACTTACTCAGACTTGTTAAGAACACTCAAGGGTCCGTTTCATAGGTTCGGTTTCAACTACAATTGGAGTTTTAACTATGGAATAGTCGCATTTGATTTTAGTTGCGTTCTCAAACAACCGCATCTCTAATGTATACATCAAGATGCCACAGAATAATAAAGAAGTATTGAAAACAAGATATTTTTTTTAAACTGTCAGTTTTCCGAATGTGATAGGTTCTACATACTGTACTCATATGAGGATCCAGTCTCCAGGTATATATTATGTCTTTGATGTCTCTGTCTAAATTGAATATGGAAACTGTTGTAACAGAACCGCTTCAGTTTTGTGTATTTCAACTTTTTTAGTAGCTATTTTTTTGCATTTATTTCAATTTTCCCACTTGCCTTTTTAACTTTCAGAAGTTCTTTTTGATTTTTTCGCCTTATTATTAGATTCATCTAACAAATCAAATTAAATCACTTTATTAATCATGTAGAACTTACAAAGTTATAGGATAGGTCAAATAGCATTTGTAAATATACATAAAATAATACTTAGAGTAAAAGTAAACCAAACATACATGAAATATTGTCATATGCATACAAAACATACCAACTTCATTCAACTCCAGCTTCATTAAATTAATGTGATGGAGAAATAAATTTTTCATCTATGGTATAAAAATTATGTTCTAATAAAAACCTTTCAAGGGTGGTTTTGAAAACCTGAATTCTATCGGTAGTTTTCAATGAGTTAACGGTTATATTATATATGATGGGATTTATGTTAAAATTATTGCACTTTCTTGTATTTACATTATGGTAAGATGAAATGCGATCATATTTCGACCTATTGGTGTGATTGAATACACATTTCAAAAATGAAAATATCCGGGAAAGTTAGAATTTTCAAATGTTTGTATAAATTTCTGCAGGTTTTCTGATTAACGCCTGCTAAAATCCGTATTTTTTTTTTGGCAATAAATACATTTGGAGCCAATGAAGAGCTTCCCCAAAGACAAATGCCATATCTGATTCTAGATTCTATATGTACATAGTAATAATTTCCTACGGAAATTATTACGTTCTGTTTCGGATTAGTATCAGTTTATTACAATGACTCTTCCAGTTCAGACAATTATCTAGTGTGAGTCCCAAAAATTTACATTAATCGAATAAAGAAAGTGTGGTTTCATTCTCATTGATTTTAATTTCTAGATTTGAACAGATTTTTTGCCTGTGATGAAACCGTACTAATAAATTTTTTCGAGAGTTGAAATGATGTGAGTTGGCGGCACACCATGAAACCAAATGATTTAACACCGTGTTACAATTTTCTTTCAAAATTGTATCGTCTTTGTCCGAAATTAGAAGTGATGCGTCATCTGCATACATAACGCACGTATTCTCAGCAACCGCGGCCCCAACATCATTACAATATAATAAATAATAGCGATCCCAACACTAATCCTTGATGTACTCCAATGGTCAAAACTTGTGTATTTGAAATACATTTATAATGAGTATTTTCAGATCGAAACAAATTGACTCCTGTTTCTGGTGAAAGACTCTATCCAGCCAGCATTTCCTCTTATTCCATATGAATATAATTTATTTAATAATATCGTGAGGTCGACGCAAGCGAATGCCCTACTGAGATCACAAACTATTCCAGCAGGGCATTCACCATCCTCGATGTACTCCAAGATTTTTGAGTAAAAAGCTGTCACAGCAGTAATAGTGGACATATTGGATCGAAAACCATGTTGAATCGGGGAGATATTGTTATGCCTTTGAATGAAATGTAGTAAACGATGTAGGTATGTATATTCAAATATTTTTGGGAATCTAGATGGAACAGTGATGGGCCTATAGTTTTCTGAAAGATATGGATCCGATTTTTTGTGGACAGGTACAGCTTTTGCGATCTTCAATTTTTCGGGAAATACTCCTGTACTAAAGGACAGATTAACTTAGCAAGTCAAAGGGTAAATAATGCATTGCAAGCTTTTTCTGATCAAGAACATTGGGATTTCATCGGGTCCAGAAAAACTTTTATTCTTAAGTTTATTCGTTACGAGAGATAACAGTTCGTTATCTGTAAAAGGTTCAAGAAATATAGAGTTATAAACATTAGTAAGATTATTGATGTGATTATTGGATGGGTTATTATTTTCAATCTCCCCAATTATCTTCTTAGGGGTAGTGATGAAAAAATCATTAAAAAGGCAGGATATTCTCTGAGGATAATTCACAACCTCACTTTCATGTATTAAGGAAATATTTTTCATAGTTGTAGAAGCGTGTAGATACTATTTATCACCCGCCATGCCATTTTTGTGGGATAATCGGAAGCCACTATTTTATTCTGATAATACAAGCGTTTTGTATCAGATATGAGTTTGGAATGTTCTTTTTTTTGCCATTATATATTTTCCAATAAATTCTGAATAAGTGTTTTTAGAGTAAAGAGATTTTTCAACTTTTCGCTAAAGGCTCTCACTTCGTTAGAGAACCAGTTACTTTTTGAGTTGTAAACGCGACATTTCTTTAGCGGAAAAAATTGATTAAAATAAAATATATATAAATGGTAGAACTTCTCGAAGGCTTCATTAATAGGCAGAGGTTCTCTAAAACAATCTGCCAGGTTTCATCTTGGAGAGCTGACAGAAAATTTGTTTGTTTATTTGAATTGTACGACATTTTGAAACTACTTTTTTGAGATTGAGCTGGATTTTCAATCAGATGAGTTTCAAGGAGTATAATTTTATGATCTGAGACACAATTATCCAAAACACATATGATTGGTTCTGGAATATTAGTGAAAATGTGGTCAATGATACTGAAGGAGTTATCATTTAATCGGGTAGGCCACTTCACCTTCGAACTGAGTCCAAAACTAGATAAAAAATGTATGAAGATGAGAGTTACGTGAGCGATCGGATGAATCCAGGTTGATGTCCCCGGCAAGAACTATGTAAACATTTGGTTTATAAAATTTCTCCAATATATTTATGCAATTCTCTGAAAATTTTCTAAATTTATATTATCGCAAATTAAGTCGTGTCTGTAGTATACAGCAACACCCCCTTTTTCAAATTTCTGCCTACAGAAAAAACTACCTAAATTGAAGCCGCTAATCTTTTTTAATAAAATCGACTCAGCATTAGCATGAGATTCGTTAAAGTTTAAAAATTTAAAATTATTATTGTTTAGTATATCAGATTCTAACACATTTATAGTTTCATTGTTCAGGCATCTAACATTCAGTGAGAAAATGTCAGGAGAATATATCACTTTGGTGGATAATTCACTGGGTTCTGTTTCCGAAAAAACTTACTTATGCAAGGGCCTTCTGGCCAAAGGTTAGGTGTCATTGCTCTTCGAAAATTCCTGTCCATAAGGCTTTGCTCCCACGCTATTCTATTATCTCTCCAAATAACCACATCACTTTTTTACATTCTAACATGTTTTAAAAGGTCACAATTAATAAAAGACCAATCAACAACTGCCCATGAATTTCCTAGGAAATGCCAACTTTTCAACAATGAATATTATTGCTATAATCGGATCTTATAAAACCAAATCTATAAAACTGACCCCAAGTCCAGCAGCGCATTAGTGGTTCAGTCTGGCATTAATGATGAGACCTATACCGGGTCGAAATAAAGCTGAATTACGTTGGTTTACGAATGTGTTATTTTTCGGCTCTGATTTCAACTAGCTCATGAATAGTTGACTTCTATATTTAGTAAATGGTTAAAGTTACGAATATTTGAAATTTTCTATTATCGTATCGCATTAGGCTTTGGATGTAATAATTCTCAAAAGATGTGGAGCCATATAAAGGATGTTTCTTATCTACGGTACGAAACTTCAGAGGGTGATTCGTTAGGTCGTTTTAAGAAAAAAATTTCTATGAACATATGTCCGGAGTTGCTTCGTTTCTGAAGTATAGGACGTTGAATTAAAAAAAACGGTAATTATAAAATATCATATCATATCCTTACTCTGATTCGGTTGAAATTTGCTATATAGTTATTTGAAGTAATAAGGCGGTCATTGAGCCCGAACTAGATTGAAATTATTAGGTCCAGTGGTGTCTCAGTAGGCACCACAGCCAACAATATTAAGACAAAAAAAAGGCCATAGAATTTTATTTAGTTTTAATATT